AATACATAATTAATTATACATTAATGTACATTAAATACCCATCTTTTGGATGGGGCGGTATTAATTAGAGATGATCAAGCTCCTAATTAAATCGCGTCACTCCAACATTGTTCAAATGGTCTTCTCGCATTGTCCAAATCAATTCAACGGTCTTCTGATTTAAAATCATGTTCTTTATTTTCACCAAGCTTAAAAAATTATATTTTTAGACTTAAATTATATAATTTTAGTCCTATAATAACCCACCTCTCCTCTACATGCTTTTGAAAGTTATAGATTCTATCCCTACGTAAAGTTCAATGTTTATTTTCAAATTGGATATAGGATATTGTTTTAACCTTATGGACAATATATATATATATATATATATATATATATATATATATTAAATGATCTTTTCAAAATTAGAACATAGCGGTTGTAGTTAACAGTTATATCTTGTTTGCATATAGTATTCAATAGAGGTTAATAGTGGATGCATAATGCTTTTCACATAAACATATATTTTTCCAGTTTTTGATGTAAAATTATTAATTTAAAAATAAAATAACCATATTTTGAAAAAAAAATCGTTAGAAGTAGAATCTTATATAGAATGCATTAATTTGATTTTATAGAGTACACACACATACATAGAATCAATACTATTTTAAAATATTTTATATAAAAAAAATAACAGTAAGAGACCAATATATGACTACTAATTTAGATCTGTACATATATTGGTATTGAAAGTCGATTATGATTAACATTATGATGATATTTTTTTCCATTAGAATTAATGAGTAAGAGATTTGAAAATCGGTTATATGATTAAATAAAATAAAATAAAAAAATTATGGCGTTAGTCAATGGTATATTTATTTCAAGGGAGTGGGGTTGGTCAATGGTCTGGTGTCTTCGATAACTTTCAAGGGCATGGGAGTTCATACAAATGAATGCAGAATCCTTATCATGTAACGTTGCAGTTTCCTTTATGGCCTCAGTACGAGTAAAAAAAGAAAGAGCAAGAAACTCATTGACTTCAATATTTGCGTTATTAAATATACGATATAATCATTATGATTAGTCAAATTGGAGTTATTTGAAAATTTAGTAGTTCAACCGGTGGAATAAGGTCACAAAACATCTGTCTCATCCCCAATTCGAATCTCAAATTTTGAAAATAAGTGTATATTCCAAATCACCTTGACTGGTTCCGTTCAAGGATTAGTACGAGCCTTAGTTTAGGATACCCGATTACAAAAAAAAAATGGATTTATTTGTTGTTAAAAAATTGTTTATTTCAATTCGGACGTATTTTAAATTAGAAAATTTATGCCATTTGAATATCGGTATATATATATAATATATAGTTTAGGTTTGCGCGTTTTTTTCAGAGATGTCTGCATGGTTTATTCAGATTTCAGACTATCTTTTCCGCAGTTATTCAACATGATCCATATATATAGGTATATATATATATATATATGGATGCACAGCATTTATCCAAGAAAATCTTCTCTAAATAATCATTTAAATAATTGTAACCAAGGGAAACGAGATATTTAATAATACCAGTGGACCGTCTTCTGGGTCCGAGAGTATTATTAAAAGAGCATATGCTTTTAGGCGTTTCACAAACGCTAAACGAAGACAGCTGCAGAGTGTGGCCCGTTTTACATAAATGGAGTATGACACCTTGTCGTTTTCGAAATCCTTATTTTGCTCGTGGACCCTTTGTTTTTTTTTTGTTTATAAATAAAATCATTTGAAAATTAATTTAGCTAGTAATGTCAAGGCTCTTTCACACGCCTATACAGACTAATGATATATATATATATATATATACATATATACACACCTGGGTGGACCTACATATATCTATGTGGGACCACATATTCTGTTCACCCAATTAAAAAATTTTATTTTATTTTTATAAATTTTGTAAAAAATTGAACAAAACTATTAAATGCCCCTATAAATTAAATTTGCATAAAATTAACTTTACTCCAATTATATATTTTTCTAGTTCAACCTAATACGTACATATATTTGCAATAATTAATATATTTGGAATTGTGCGAATGAGAGAGAACTAGAAGTGAAAGGTAAAGAGAGTTTCTGAACATCTGGAAAACACTTCAAGACAACGACACGTGTTGCTGTTCAGCCATTTTCACCATTTATTGTTTATTTTTATTTTTGTATACTCGAATATTTGATGTATCCATACATCATAAATGATGAATCCTAAAACCTTAAATCTTAACAATTTAAATTTGATATTTTTTTTATTTTTTAGATAAATAATAGTTTATTTGAATATGTAGATTTTTTAAGATATTAATTTTGTCAAATAGGTTGTATTTACATAAATTTTCTTATTTGTGACAAAAAGTCCAAAAAAATATATTGACTTTAAAGCAACATAAGATTGAATAATGAACTAAAACAATGATGATCATGTAAAAGTCCATTAATTATGATTTGAATCGGTTTTAATTAATTTGTGCTATTAAAAGTCTTACTTAGATATTCAAATACAAAAAATTAAGTACTATAATATGTTCAAAACGTAAAAAAAAAAAAAAAGAAGAAGAAGCAATTTAGTTATAAAAACAAACAATACAAAATAATTTGAGTATTGACATATATTTTTTTTTCTATTTACTAACGACTTTTTTCACAAAATTTATATAATGAAATTGTAATCCATAAAATACAATCGTACATAATAAAAACGATTAAAACTTCAATTGAGTTGAAAACTAAATAATTCGAACCTTTGCTTAATCAAATTATAATCATAAAATCAAATTATACGTAATAGAAACGATAGAGATGCATAGATTCCGGGTGAAATTGATGCAAACCAAATCGAATTGATCTTAACAGGCTATGAATGACCATTATATATATATATACACACGCATACATATGAGAGTGTAAAGATGTCAGGGTCAAATGAAATATGTTTTTGTATTTGTTTTTAGCGAAAATGAAATGAAAATGAGATGGACCGACTTCCCTTTTGTATTTTATCGTTCATTTTCCTACCAACCTAACCTTCACAATCATTAACCCCACCAAAATTCCAACTTTTATAATGTCAAATCATATATTTCTTTTTCATTTTCCTACCATCAACATTAAAATAACCCTTATTTTCTTTTCAGTGTTTAGTTTCAAATTTTTGTAATTTATTTGCAGATGATATATATTTTGACACGTAAAATATATGGAAACCCATGATACTAATAAAATTATTATGATATCCAATAAAAAATTATGATTTGAATTTTGCGTAGGATTCAAAAGTGATTGTCTATTTCTTTCGTCTGATATCGGAATTTCATATTGCATTCTCCTTTTTTTTTGTTTTATTAATTTCTGTGCGCTTTAAGAAATATAAAATAATAATATATTATGAAAATCGTTAAATTAGCCTAAATAATAAATGTTAATAATTGGATGCGATTTTTTGAAATAAAATATCTTACGTGTGGAAGCAGCGTTAAGAAATCCCACGCGCTTCCTATCCGCGTCCACCAACTCACCAAAATTGATCAAAATTTTGATCCAACGAAAGACCATATAAATATCTCTTTTCAAATAAAAACTCGAACCTATGCACCAACACCAATAGAAATTGATTATAATATCAACTATAATTATCTACGTGAGATATAGGTAAACAGAATAATAATGCATAGTTTTTAGTGTAAAAAAATAGAATTTTGTGATAAAAACGTAATAATGAATACAACTGTTTTGGCCATTTTTTAGGATTTTAGATAATTCTGTTTCAGGATTTCTCTTTCTGCAATCCCAAAACAATTTCGATTACAAATTTGATCACCGAGTTTAGGTTAAATCGATAAGTATTGTATTTCTCTTTCTACTGTAACGATTTGTATTTTGATAAGTTTATACTGTTCCAAATCCACTGATAGAAAAGGATATAATTTCTAGATTAAAATAGTTTATATATAATCTCGTATCTAGTTACAATATTTATGTAAACGCTTGTTAATTATAGTTAGATTTTTTTTATCAAGAATGAATGATTAATTATAATTCAAAACTAAAATATAAAGATAAAATCAAAATTACCTAAATATATATTTCACTAAAAAAATATAATATTTTAAATTTATTAAAAAAATTATCAATTGTTAATTTTTTAAAAAATCATATATATATATAGATAATTTACTCAAAAAATAATTTATTTTAAATTTGTTATAAAATCTATTATTTTATATAGAAAAAAATCATTGACTATTTAAAATTAAAAGAATATTCTATTTTAAATTTTTTCAAAACATTTTATTAATTTTGAAAATATATAAACTATAGAATTTATATAGAAATTTATTATATTATAATATTTAGAATTTATATACATATTTAGTTTTATTATAATATTTAGTATTGTAAAGGTAAAGAGAGTTTCTGAACATCTTAATTTTGAAAATATATAAACTATAGAATTTATATAGAAATTTATTATATTATAATATTTAGAATTTATATACATATTTAGTTTTATTATAATATTTAGTATTGTATAATGTATATACATTATCTTTTATAAAATAAATGCGTCTTTTATAAAATAAATTGTGTATATATACTATATTAAAATTCAATATATTTTAGTTATTGAAGTTATAATTATATAAAAAATTTGATAATATTTGTAATTTAATGGTTCAAACTATTAATTTAAAATTTTATAGAATTTTAGTAAATAAAATATTATATAATGTATAATTTGAATACGAATTAATTAAAAGATAATATATACTTTTGAAGTAAAATAAAAATAAAATATTTTTTAAGTTTATAGATTTATATTATAATTTTAAAATGAAAGATTGTCTTAGAAAATTAAATAACTAATAGTTTTTTGTTTAAAATTATATCAAATTTGAAGGAGATATTGTTTAATAGATTGGGAAGTACTATTGATTGCTTGGCAGATCCGTTAACGCCGGAGAAAATCTACATGTCTTTTTTTATTTTTCCATGATTTTGACTTCCAAATCTCAAAACATCAAAAACAAATTCATTCCGGAAAAAAAAAGAAGAGAACTTTTTTTTTCTTCCACAATTATTTCACGGTTCTTTTGTTTTTGTTTTTCTCTGTAAAGGCGAAGAAGTTCTTCACCAGAATTGTTTGTCTGTGGCTAAATCCTCTTTCAGTGTCTCTCTGTGGAAAAAAGCAAGCAGCTTTCTCTCTCTAATTTTTTTTTGGGTTTTTCTTTCCAGTGGATGTGGCGATCGCGTGTCGCAAATTCTAGCTGATTTTGAGAGAGGGAGAGATTGATTTCTGGGTTTTTCTATTCGGGTGGATGTGGAGGTCGTGAATGGCAAAATCTGGCTGAGTTTTAATCACAGAGAGAGAGAGAGAGAGAGAGAGAGAGAGAGAGAGAGAGAGAGAGAGAGAGATGGGAGGATGCGTGTCGACGCCAAAGAGCTGCGTGGGAGGGAAAGTGAAATCGAGGGGAAGTAAGAGAAGAAGGATCCGAAAAAGAAGGAAGATTCAGAAGAAGAAAGTTGTGTCCTCCTCTCGCTTCTCTGACGGATCCTTCGATAACAACAACAACAACACCGATCCTTCTTGTCCTTCCGATCATCACCATCACCATCACCATCATCCTCACCATCATCATCATCCTCACTTCTATTCTTCCTTCTCCAATCCCACTTTCGGAGGTCTATCCCTGTTTCTCCCTGCCATTCTGTTCTAAAGCTTTGATTTTTTTCCTCTGGGTTTGTTTGACATTTTCCTGCATTTGATTGATTTGCTGGAATTCGATCTCTGGGTTACTTCTTATGATAGATTTGCTTGTGGGTTTTCCTTTTTCGTGCATTTTAATGTTGCCCTTTTCATTGTCAATGCAAAGGATAGATCTTGGTTCATGTACTTTTCCTCTGGCTTTTATCGGAGTTCTTCGTCTTTGATTGCGGCTCTGTTGCTGTGTTTTGATGGGTTCTGTCGGTTCTTCCTTTCCTCGTTATTTTCTCGACGTTTCTGCATATTTCGGCTCCAATCTTTATCCAATTCTGATTTGTTGGGCATTTAAGTATTTGAATGTTAAAAAGTGGATTCTTCTTACCTAAGTTGTCTATCATTGATGGAAAGTGATCAGCAAAAAACAGTGTATGTTCTATTCCGTTTGATACTTCCCCTAAAGGCTTTTTGTTATTTCACGAGTGAAACTCCCTCAATGATATGAGCACTTAAATTTCCAACAAGTGAGAAATCTCCATGTGAATTCTCATTATCAAGCTGAGTTCTTTTTTGGTTTCCTTGTGTATAATCTTGATCCTTGTTCACTATTCTTTCACCAGATAGCCTCGATGAATGGTTCGATTGCAATCTCGCCTTCGAAACCGACAGTGAGGATGATTTTCACAGCATTCAGGGAGGTGAATTCCATAAACTCGTATAGAAATAATCTTTGAAGCTATTACGTTTCTCTCCGGTTAATGCACTACACTCATCTCTCTTGTCCCCTTTTCAGATGCATTGTCCTTAAACGGAGCGGAGAGAGTATCAGTCTCAAGTATGTCGTCCACCAGAGATTCCGATGCCGGGAATTCTGCTCGGCGTTCTCTTAGCGACATTCCCAGGACTTCCAACCGCCATTCCTCGAGCCTGGATGATGCCATGTCCCAATCCAAATCGGATAGTGTCTTGAACGAGGCAAAGCTGACTGTTTTCATCGACGAAGATATATCTTCGGCTGGGGATGAAAGTTCGAGGAAGGATGAAGGAATATTGGAGAACTGCGGGATTCTCCCGAGCAACTGTTTGCCTTGTCTGAACCCGACAGTTCCTTCTGTCGAAAAGAGAAGGTCCTTGAGTTCTAGCCCTCCGAACACAAGAAAGAAAGCCGCCCTGAAACTTTCTTTCAAGTGGAAAGAAGGGCAGGGAACTGGTCCTTTGTGTAAGTATTGACCCCATCACTACAATTCTCAGGGTATAGACTGTCATTTTCATTTGATAATCGGGTCTATACTTACATGGGTATATATCGCTTCAGTTTCTTCAAAAATGCAGCTTCAGAGACCTATTGCGGGTTCTCAGGTTCCATTCTGTCCAATCGAAAAGAACATGTTTGATTGTTGGTCAGCCATTGAGCCAAGTAGCTTCCGGGTTCGGGGCAAAACTTATCTCAGGTATTCCAGTAGCAATCCCCTTCGGTATTAACTTGCACTGGTATCAGTTCATCGAGATTTTCCAAAAAATGAATGACCTTGGCGATATTGCAGGGATAAGAAGAAGGAGCTTGCACCAAACTGTGCTGCTTATAATCCTTTCGGGGTCGATGTATTCTTAACACAACATAAAATAAACCATATAGCTCAACACGTTGAGCTTCCCATTGTTACCATCCCCTCGGGAAAGCTACCTCCCATTCTCGTTGTAAATGTTCAGGTTTTTCCCGATAAAACCTCGTGTCCCTGTTAACGTGTCCTTATCCATGTTTTCTGGGTTTTTACGGTCTGATTTCGTTCTTCGATCTGTGAACAGATCCCGTTGTATCCAGCAGCAATCTTTCAGGGAGAAACTGATGGAGAAGGGATGAGTTTTGTTCTGTACTTCAAACTTTCAGAGAATTACTCAAAGGAACTTCCACCTCATTTTCAAGAATGCATTCGTGTAAAGCTCGATCCTTTCGTGCATATATATATATATCAATCTACGATCTCGGTTTTTGAATATTCTTTGGTTGCAGAAACTGATAGAGGACGAGGTGGAGAAAGTTAGAGGCTTTCCGATGGACACGACGGCGGGATTCAGAGAAAGGCTGAAGATATTAGGGAGAGTGGCGAATGTAGAAGATCTTCACCTGAGTACTGCAGAGAAGAAGCTGATGCATGCTTACAACGAAAAGCCCGTCCTCTCCCGCCCGCAGCACGAGTTCTTCCTGGTAAGTCCCCGTCCCGTCCCATCAAGTTTCCTTCTTTCCGTCGCCTTTCCCCGCAAAAAATGTGTCGTGTGTATGCAGGGGGAGAATTACTTGGAGATTGACATCGATATGCACAGATTTAGTTACATATCGAGGAAAGGGTTCGAGGCATTCTTAGACAGGCTTAAACTCTGTGTCCTCGACGTCGGCCTCACCATTCAGGGGAACAAGGCGGAGGAGCTGCCGGAGCAGATGCTGTGCTGCATCAGGCTGAACGGCATAGATTACATCAACTATCACCAGTTATCCATTCATCAACACCACCTTTGACCCTCCATTTCCCCCTCAAAACAATATCCAAATCATCTTTTTTTTTAAATAATAATAATAATAATATATATACACACACACATTGTTGACCAGACGAAAAGAAGTAAATGTCATTTTTAAAAAAAAAAAAAAATTATGAAATTGAATTTTATAAACCCAGAAACTATCCTTTTTAGCTTCTTATACAAATCGATCGAATCGGAATTATTCAAAAGTTTAAAGAAACGGTAGCATCGGTGAAATAAAATGGTATATATATGTATTTTGTGAGAGATTCATAGGTATATATATGTATTTTGTATATATTAATCTAACTTTCTGATACATATTTCAAGATTGAATTAAAGATAAAAAAAATCGTATATGTTGACAAATAAACATCATGCTTATGTAGTGGTCGAAATTATCTGCTGCTCTTAACGACTATCAATGTATGGTGGAAATCAGGTTATATCTAATTTTGAGTTTCGTAGAAAATAGATAGGGGAGATTATTTTTCTTTCGATATTGAAAATTGAATCCAGTCCTATCGAATAAAATAGGTAACGTTTGTGTATAACATTTTAAATCAATTTAACGAAATTCGAATAAAATTGATAAAGAATTAAAAAAAAAAAGAACAGAAAAAAACCGAAATTTATTTATTTTTATATCAATAATATTATGGTGTGATACATCAGCTAGTGCATACATTTAAATAAGAGTCATTTGCACTGAATCACACACCTTTCTCATGGGTCTTTGATGAGGTCCAAATTTATATATGAAATGACAAAATTGTCATTTGCAAGATAATAATGATTTTCCATTGGTTGGTTCCTCACAAAACATATGTGACATTAAATTCTTTTGTACAACTTAATTGTAGATTCGTTATTTATTGTAACATGTAACACGAGAAAAAAAAATTCATTATTAAATACTAAAATTTAAATCTTGACATAAGTGAACAAATGTCTGTTTTTTTCCATTTAATATTATATTACTAAATTTCTGTTTAATAATTATCACTTGACCAATCATTATTGGCCTTTATGCTGCCACGTAATACTTTATCCGAAAACCTACCCTCTTCCCCCCTTCTATAAAACCGGTTTATTTCGCCGATAATTTCAATAACCGGCATTTCCGCCGTTCATCTTCGTCACCGGGAAAAATGGCGGTCTCCGGCGATGTGAAACTTCTGAGCATGTGGGCAAGCCCCTTCGCGGTGCGAGCGATGATAGCTCTCAACATAAAATCCGTCGAATACGAGCTCCACGAGGAGATTCTCACATCGAAGAGCGATCTTCTCCTCGAATCGAACCCGGTTCACAAGAAGCTTCCGGTTCTGATCCACGCAGGTAAACCGGTTAGCGAGTCGCTCGTCATCGTTCAGTACATCGACGAAACCTGGAGCTCATCTGGGCATCCTATTCTCCCCTCCGATCCGTACGATCGAGCCCTCGCTCGGTTCTGGGGCGCTTATGTCGACGACAAGGTATCGTCTCGCTCGATTTCTTCTGGGTTTTCGAATTTAGGGTTTTTTTTTACTGAGGTTCTTGAAATGGGTTTCATGGCTTTGATCAATTTGATCCATCTCGCAAACCGGTCACGTCCATCAAGTGTTACGCCTCACTGAGAGAGATAATAGAAGCGAAGGAAGAACAAGCGAGGAAAGAAGCAATATGTAAAGCAGAAGAAGGGATAAAGCTTTTGGAGAAGGCGTTAATGGAATGCAGCAAAGGAAAAGCTTTCTTCAATGGCGACCGTATCGGATACACAGACATTGCCCTCGGCTGCTTGCTGGCGTGGATGAAAGTGGTGGAGCAGAGGATCGGACAGAAACTTCTGGACGAGATCAAGACTCCGGTTCTGTGCGAATGGGCAGAAAGATTTTGCGACGATCCTGTCGTGAAGCCCGTCATGCCCGATGTCGACAAACTCTCGGAGTTTGCCGAGATACTGTTTCCCAAGCCGGCCTCACTTGCTTAAGACGACGTCGTTTTCGGCTAGTACTGATATTGGTTTTATTTTAAAACTAAATTATAATCTAATAAAATTGGATCTTCCTCGAGGGGTATATATAATATATGTCCTTAAAATTGGGTTTTTCACTAGTTTTTTTTTTGGGCGGTCCAAATGTTATTTTTTTTATTCTACATCTTTTATTTTGGGTGTAGTAGATTAGTGGTCCAACAAATATTTTTTTATTTAAAAAAACTGTATGTTAATGTTAGTGTGAGGAGTTGACACGAGTCGTCCGAAATTCAAGAATTTAAGCTAAAATTCGAAAGGTTTTAATTTGCTTGGTAGGTCTAGATAAACCAAATATATATTGGAAGTCTATTTTTTTTTAATATAAATATAAGATAGTGTTGAGCATATGAACTTCACTTTAATGGATTCTAAAACATACAATTTAATAAAATCATATATATATTTTTAAATACAATTGAGGATATGAATACTTTGTTATTACACAAGTAAGAATACTATCGAAATTATACCAATGATGAAATTGTGGACTGAATATTCTTTTAACTAGAGAATTAGAAAGAGGAAACTAGGGTAGTTTTAAATTTTCAAAAAAATAAAAATTATTCTATTAAATGGATAGTTTAATCAAATTGCGAAAAAATAATAAAAAAAGATTGTGAAGCCCAAAAATCAGAGGAATAATTTAATTCTCCAATAACATTAAATACATTTAACTTTTGAATTCTTTGCCTTATTAGAGGTAATATAGAAAAAGTATAAACTATAAAACGAGTCGAGGGAATGTCTACTCTATTTTATTAGTTAATGTCATTCAAAACCATAACATATTTTTGAAAGACTCGATTACGTAAGCAAACACGTCAATTTCTGCCCAGTATTTTTTTGTTTTTTTTTTAATTTTTAAAGAAACGTACGTGTCAAGCAACCATTAGTTGGTATTCAAATTCGTTAAACTCTATCCGGCACTCGAATACGTAACTAACGTAAGCAAACACGTCAATTTCTGGTCTAATTTTTTTTTATCTATTTTACTTTTTCTTGTTAAATATACGTGTCAAGCAACCATTGGTTGATGAAATTCACGTCACTCAATCAGTCAGTCAAGCCTACCCGCTTCTCCTTATATAAACCGGTCTTAACCGGAACCCGATAATTTCAAACATCGCGACCGACATTTTCTCTTCTTCTTCTTCTTCTTCTTCATCTCCGGCAACAATGGCGATCTCCGGCGATGTAAAACTCCTGAGCTTGTGGTCGAGTCCGTACGCGATGCGAGCAATGATCGCTCTAGGATTAAAATCCGTTAGCTACGAGCTCCAAGAGGAGATTCTCGCGTCCAAGAGCGAGCTTCTTCTCCGATCCAACCCTGTTCACAAGAAGGTCCCAGTTCTGATCCACAAAAATAAACCGGTTTGTGAGTCTCTCATCATCGTTGAGTACATCGACGAGGTTTGGAGCTCATCTGGCCCGTCCTTTCTCCCCTCAGATCCGTACGACCGAGCCGTCGCTAGGTTTTGGGGTGCTTATATCGACGAAAAGGTATCGCATCTGTTGATTTCTTCTATGTTTTTGTTCTATTTGTGTGATTGTTGCTTGATTTGGGATTTTGTTGAGCTTTTCAAGAGATTTTGCGGGATGACGACATTGATTGGGTTCATGAGGTTTTTGACCGATTTGGTCCTTTGGTTTCAACCTGTTTAAGCCTCTGTTTTCATTGACAATCGTTGAGAATCATCAAAAACTCGACTCTTTAAGCCTTCGGCACACTGTTCTCTTTGTTTTTTTTTTGTCTTAGGATGAACTAAAAGTTCACCTTTTTTTGGGTCTTTGTGGTAACGTCTACATTGCTCGTTTGTTGTCTTGTAAGATGAAATCAAACAGGAATGGTGTTGATTCAGATTGAGCAGTTGAATTAGACCATGACTAAAGATCCTTTAGGTCTCTTATTCTTCTTGTCCCACTTCTATAATCGACGGAAGAAGAAGCACTAGTGAAAAAAAATCCGTTTCACACTTTCACCAAGCTTATGCCTTTCCAATGTTTGGTTTTTGTGTTAAACACCCCAAGTTTTTCGCCACTTTGAGGGAGATCCTAAGGGCGGAGGGAGAAGAGGCGAAGAGGGCAGCCATGGCTAAAGCAGAAGAACAGTTAGCCCTTCTGGATAAGGCGTTTGCAGAGAGCAGCAACGGAAATCCGTTCTTCAATGGTGGTCATATCGGGTATGTCGACATCGCCCTCGGATCTATACTGGCGTGGGTGAGTGTCATAGAACTGGTGTTCGGCCGTACGCTCGTGGACGAGACCAAAACTCCGGTCCTGTCCAAATGGGCAGAGAGGTTCCGCAGCGATCCTGTCGTCAGATCGGCCATGCCCGAGACCGAGAAGCTGGTCGAGTACGCGAAGAAGGTGTTCCCCAAGCTGTTGCCAGCTTAACTTGAGGTGCTGGATTTTCATATAAATGTGGTTTTAGAGTAATACTTTTTGCTCCAAAAAAGAGTCAAAAGGGGTCGTTTTTTCGATTCAAAAGGAAATTAGGAAAAAAAACATGTAATTTTATTTTGAGCGTTCTAGTTGAACTCTTTCTATTTCAAAATAAAATCCGAAAATTTTAAAACCGTCTTTTTTTACTAATCAAATTTTTTTCCGACCAATGGTGCTACACCAATGACACCTAATAAAAATTTACACATAATTATTTTTATTTAAAAAATTAATTATTTTAAAAATTAATTATTTTAAAAAATAATAAATATTTAAAACAAATATAATATATACCTATACAATACAATTACGATAACGGTACTTTTAACAAAACAGTCAACATAAACTGGAATTAAAAACAAAACTTTAAATCATAATTCATGACAAACCGTATCTCTTTAAAGAAATTATTTCCTCATCGATATCTACGGTTGAATGGAATATAATCTCACAAGACAGTATAGACCTACCTCATCGAAATAACAATATTTCAAACTCTGACACCTTAACGAATTCAAAGATCGTCTTGAATCATAAAATTTAAAAAATATTTTTTTTTGGGTAGAAAACTTTATTTTGCTTTGATTTTGATGTGTTAAAAATGAAAACAAGATTTTCTATTTATAGATTTCAAAAATCATATGAAAGATACGGGTGTCAATCTGGCCGAGTCCGAATCCATACTTGGCCCAAAGGTTTTGGGTTCGGACTCGGACCCAAAGCCTAATCCTATATACTTGGTGCTTGGATTTGACCGTTAAATTTGTTCTTTCAAATCCATTTTCTTATTTTTTATTAATTTTTTTAGAATTTTTTTTTTGGGATTTTAAGACTGCACCAAAACCAAGTTCAAAATTTTTTGAACCTAAATACCTCAACCCAAAACCCCTTTTTTTAGGACCGAACCAGGTTTCGGGTCAAAATTGATACCCTAATGAAAGGTTCAAAAAAAGGTCATAAAGAGTTAGTGGAGAAAGTGAATAATAAACACATTCATCATTTAATTGAAAAAAGTGGATGATGATCATGTGGAAAGCTGTTGTACAAGTTATAAGAATAGAAATACCAGGTTTTGACAAAAAAAAAAAAAAAACTCCATCCAATTTTAAAAATATCCAACAATAAAATATGTACATTTGTATATATACATATATTTATGTATATATGTATATGTATATTTGATATCTATGTCTTAATTTATTTCAAACATTTATTAAATTTTAGAAATACTTATTTTTTAAATAAAAAAATTATGACGTACAAAATTTTTACCAGATGCTAATGACGTACCACCATTGATTATTTAGCTACGCATAGAAAAGAGTAAAGATTTCAGTTCTTATTTTGGTATAAAACAGCCCTCGCCCTCATCTGAGAAGAATGCAGATTTTGGGACATGTAATAAGATAGCTTTCCCCGTACCATCTGTTAGGACTTGAGACATATCAGACATCTCTTACCAAGATCATAATTTCCCATTCAGACAGAGAGATTCAAACAGGGAAGAGCACTTACAAGATATGAATCTTTAAGATACACAGGCAAAACACCAACCTAAAAAAAAATCAATATATATTTCAAGCACAAGAGAGCTTAATCTGAAAAACATTACCATCGCCAGATGAATTTGAAGCATATTGATTCATCAAAAAGTTTGAAAGGGTGAACTCTTGCATTAGAAATCACAACTCTCATCCAGTTCTTGAACCGACAAAGACAAGAGATAGAAAACGGAAGATATGGAAACCAGACATTCCTTGGACGAACAAAACTGACAACTATTGTCAGGTGCAATATGAATGCGTACGTACCTCACCACATTTGATCGATGATGTCAGATGATTTCTGCTAGTTCTTGTTAAAAGCTAATACATAAAACACATAACCAATTCCATCACACTATAACAATAACGAGAGCTAATGGCACTGCGTCTCATGGAGCAAATAAGAAAACAAAACCACTGAGGTAATATCGACTTCAAAAAATAACAGAACCCTCTATTTTGCATCTCATTTGGAAATGCAGATGTTTCAGAACATGTAACACATAGCATTCCCATTCCAGGGTCTCTTTACCCATTATTCCCAAATTCCCAATAGAACAGACCATTTTCAATTATGTTCTGGTACATGTAACAAATAGCCTTCTCATTCCATGGTCTATTTAGCTATTATTCCTAATAGCACAGACTATCTGCTTGCATCTCACTTGCGAATGCAGATTTTTTGCATTATGTTTCAGGACCTGCAAGAAGATAGCATTCTCATTCCATGTCAGTTTCACCATTATTCCCAATTAACAGATCATCTCATTTGAGAAAACATACTTTTGCATTATGTTTCCGGACATTTAACAAATAACGTTCCCATTCCACTGTCCATTTAGCCATCATTCCCAATGGAACAAACCCTATATTTGCATCTCATTTGAGAATACAGATGTGTCATTATATTTCGGGATATGTCATAGATAGTAGGGGTGGGCATTCGGTTCGGGTATTTCGGTTATTAACCGAACCGCCCGATATATACCCGAACCGAACCGAACCGAATAAAATTAAATAACCGTTTGGTTATGATTTTTTAAAATCCGAAATAACCGAACCCGAACCGAACCGATTAAAAATTATTAACCGTTTGGTTATAAATTTTTATAAACCGAATTAACCGAATCCGAAACGAACCGTTTATATATCTTCATTTATATATATTTATATACATATATGAATGTTTATATTCTTGATTTAATCATTGTTTTATTATATTTTAAACGCATTTTATCATTGTTATTATTGTTTTTAAAGTTTGTGTGATATAAACATTAGAAAAAAAACGATCTTTATTTATTTAATAGTTTTATATCAAAATATAAAATTTAGATATTATTATTTTATATGTTTAAATAATTATGATAATATTTTATATTATATTTTATTTGAATATTTTTAATTATTAATGAATTGATTTTTTAAATATTATAAGCGAACCGAAACCGAATTGAACCGAATCTTTATTTGGTTATAATGGTGTCGGTCTCGAATGGCTTGACATAGATTGCATCAGCCACAACAACTGTTACTGTGTGGTTCTGCGAGGCTGAAGAAGAGCTCGCGCGTTAATTAGCTGTAAAAAGGTATGTGTCTGTTCATACCAAAGTACGTACCCATATCAGGTAATCGTATCCAATCAAATCGAATTTAGAGGTTGGAAACTATAATCACTGGCATGGTACCTCTAATTTCCGACCTGTGCTCCTGTTGTTTTGCGTCTTGAAGCTCTGATTCTGCTACCAGTTGGTATCCTCAAAAAACGTGACTCCTTTCTCTGCATCTCTCGCCATTTTTCTGTGTTATATCTAACCCTGTCCTGCCTCTGATAATGGTGTCCTCTGTTCTGCAGAGAATGTAGCTGAATTATCTAATAAGCTGAGTTGTGGAATGAAAATGTATTATAGTTTATCTGCTGAATCCAGTGCTGATATTCTTCAGATTCCTCTGTTTCTGCAACAAAGGTACCTTGCCAGTCTGCAGCATCACCAGTAATCTGAACAAGAGCAGGACCCATCTTTGAAATGGTGGAATCGAACACGATCTCTCACTATGATTTCAGTCTCGAAGACTCCTGAGATCAGTTTAGTCACCTCGTGGCAATCGCTGCATACCCGTAGATTCTTGAAGACACGGATTGGAGCACCGGGTTTCGAGTTTATCAGACCAAATGCTATGGCAAGCCTCTCACTGTGGAGCCTGAGGGAATTCTCCTTGCTATCATCATCATCATCATTACACACATCTACCAATGGAGCTTGTGACTGATCTGGTGAATACCCAACAGATTTCAGCTTCTCCTCGATCACATTCAACTGTTTATATATCTGCTCTGTTTCAGGATGGGATGTGTCTCCCGCGAAAAATTCATGGGAAATGCCGTTTATCTCTATGGAACTGCATCCGGGTTCTTTCGTGATTCCCTGATCAGTCATTAGTTTCCGGACAATTCCAACTTCGTTCCACCTGCTAGCCGACGCATAGACTCTAGACAACAGAACGTATCCGCCACTGTATCCACTATTGATGCTTTCATTCTCTTCCCCTGTTCCGATGATTCGTCTGGCAATTTTTTCGCTTAGCTCAACAGTTCCACCCTTTTTGCTACAAGCATCAAGAAGGCTTCTCCAGACCACGGCATCGGGTTTCATGGGCATATTCTTCACCAGGTCAAGAGCCTCGGTAATAAAGCCTGCACGAGCAGAAAGATCTACGATACAACCGTAATGCTCCAACACAGGTTTAATGTTGTAATCTCTGACCATCGCGTCGAAATACTCTCGTCCTTCTTTCACCATGCCTCTGTGATTGCACGCGCTCAGAACCCCGACAAATGTTACTGCATTCGGTCTCAAGTCCCCGCCTTTCACCATGCGAGTGAAACAATCCAGAGCTTCCTCAGCTTTTCCGTGCATAGCAAACCCTAAAATCATCGAGTTCCATGTAGCTACATCACATTTCAGCATCCCCTGGAAAACCTGCTCAGCCATTTTCGCTGACCCGCATTTGCAGTACATATCTATCAACGAGTTCTTGATCAGAACATCCATTCCAGCATCGACATCACATTTTCGCAACAGAAAGGCGTGTGCCCAGATACCGAGTGGTAAAGAACCGAGACCAGCGCAAGCACTAAGAACACTTTGCATAGTATAACCATCAGGTTCGAAAGTTCTCTGCATCTGTCTGAACAGTTCCAACGCAGAATCGTATTCCCCGACCCGAACCAACGCATCGATCATCGCATTCCACGTAACAGCACTTCTCTCCGGCATTTCATCAAACACCTTCCGCGCTAAATCCAAGCATCCACATGACCCGTACAAATGAATCAAACCGTTGTTCACGTACACATCCGAGCTCAACCCATGTTTCAGAATCTGACAATGCACCTGTTTCCCTTCCGGCAAACCGAAAACATAAGCGCAAGCCTTCAACACAAACGGGAAAGTATGCTTATCCGGTCCTGTATCCCCTGTCTCCAACATGGTCTTGTAGAGTAGCAAAGCTTCTTCCTTCCTCGCGACATCGTGAGCACAAGCTCTGATGAGAGTGTTCCACATGAAGGAACTAGGTTTTTCGATCGTGTTGAAGACCCTAAAAGCGTAATTGAGATCGGAGAATGAGAAAGAAGAGAGGTGGAGGATTTTTCCGTAGAGGAAGAGAGTAGCGTGGTTGCGAGGGAAAGTGGTGCGGAGAGTGAAGGCATGTAGTTGCTTCAGACAGGAAATGTCAGTACACTGTTCCAAGAGACTGAGAATTCGGCCGTGGTGGTGGACGCCGGCGGCGGAGGAGGTTGGTCGGAGATGGGGAGAAGTTAGTGTTGGCGCGAGAGCCATGGACATGGTTATGCTTCGAAGAAACTCTGGTGGGGAGGATGAGGTCCTTAGATATTTTTAGATTTCCGTCTAATTTAAGGAAAACAATATCTGATAAAAGTTTTAATTAGAGTTCATAAAAAATCATATATTTTTTAAATATATTTAATTTTTCCAATATATATATATGAGATATTTTTATGATATTTTTACAAATGTTCTCTATTTATAAAATTATCGAAAGTTGAATAAGAGGATTTTTTTTTCCAAAAAGCTTATATTATAAAAATATTTCTAAATTCAATCTTTTTTATTTGGTGCAAAAAACAAAAAATTTAATTATTAAATTACAAATTAACCATTAGATTAAAGTTTAAATATTTAAACCAAGAAAAATGACTATATACAGAAAATTTGAGATATTCCCACTAATTCCTAATTAAAAAAACGGTGTTACTACAATGAATTGAATTCCATTATTATTATTATTATTATTATTATTATTATTGGGAATATTTCCTATAATATCATAAACTCTAGAATATTATTATCTTATGCTTTCTATGCTAATATTTGTGCTTAATGTTAACGAAAATGATCTTTTCAAAATTAGAACATAGCGGTTGTAGTTAACAGTTATATCTTGTTTGACTTTTATAAACAGCAAATCTGACGAAGCAATTAACGGAGTTAATCTCTGACAAAATTATAGTACAACCATAGTTATTAATTGCAGGTTAAGATGCCACGTGGCACTGACGTCTAATTTTTGTTCCGTTGGACTTTAGCGCGTTCTGCTTGTCATGTTCTACCTTACACGCACTCCACTCTCTTCCTTCTCATCACGCCTTCTCTCTTCTCCTTCGCCTTTTCTGTCGAAGAAATTTTCTCGGAAAATCTTCGAATCCGATTCGATTTTTCTGCCGATTTCAAGTTGGTGCATTTGTTTGTTTGTTTTTAATTTTTCCGGGAACATTCGGGTCGGGATTTTTTTTTTTGGACTGTTTCGCCGGAAGAGGAAGATTCGATGGGGGTCGATTACTACAATGTCCTGAAGGTGAATCGCAATGCGAGCGACGATGATCTGAAGAAATCGTACCGGAGATTGGCGATGAAATGGCACCCAGACAAAAACCCCAACAGCAAGAAAGAAGCGGAGACCAAATTCAAGCAGATCTCCGAGGCTTACGACGTGCTCAGCGACCCTCAGAAGCGCCAGATCTACGATCGATACGGCGAGGAGGGGCTTAAGACCGCCGAGCTCCCCACCGCAGCTGAGACGGCGGCGCAACATCGGAGTTACTCGTCTGGTAATGCCGGGTTCCGGTATTATCCGCGGGACGCGGAGGATATCTTCACGGAGTTTTTCGGCGCTTCGGGAGCTGCGTTCGGCGGAGTGGGCAGTGTCGGCAGCGGCGGAGGAGGAGGGGGAAGCGGGAGGACCCGCGGAGGAGGAGGCGGCGGCGGCGGATTCAGAAGTGCGGAGGCTGGGAGTCAGGCGAACAGGAAAGCTCCGGCCATCGAGAGCAAATTGGCTTGTACCTTGGAGGAGTTGTACAAGGGTGGGAAGAGAAAGATGCGGATTTCTCGCGTTGTTCCCGATGATTTTGGGTGAGTATTTCTTCGATTTCTCTTGATCACTTTGAACACCATTGACTAATTCCTGGCAGTAGCTTCCATTAGTTTGGTAGATATTCATCACTCTTAGAGAGAATTTCTGGGGGGAAATTCTTGAAATGCCTGTGGTCAGAAACAAATAACCAGATGGTACTGTGGGTTTTCAGAACATAGCTCATGGCTCATCTCTATGATTCAATTCATGATCCAATGTCACAAATGTAGAATTATCGACTTGAGATTAGCCTCTGTATCTGTTCTTGTTTATGCTGTGAGTCTATACCCTCATGACAAAACCAAGCAAGTCAAACTTGCTGAGCTGAATGAAGTTTTCAGTGACTGATGTTGTGGTAGATATACATGAACTGAGATTCTATCACCTGATCATGTCTTTCTTGCAGAAAGCCAAAGACTGTGGAGGAGATCTTGAAGATAGACATAAAGCCGGGCTGGAAAAAGGGCACGAAGATAACTTTCCCGGAGAAAGGCAATCACGAACCCGGATTCACTCCAGCTGATCTCATATTCGTGATAGATGAGAAACCCCACTCGGTATACAAAAGAGATGGGAACGATCTGATCGTGGAAAGAAACGTCACTCTCCTGGAAGCACTAACCGGTTTCACCCTTACCCTAACAACACTGGACGGGAGAAACCTGACCATCCCGGTTCTTGATATCGTGAAACCAGGTCGAGAGATCGTCATCCCTAACGAAGGAATGCCCATCTCCAAAGACCCCTCCAAGAAAGGAGACCTCAAGATCAACTTCGAGATCGTGTTTCCGTCGAGGCTAACGGCAGAACAGAAGTCAGATCTGAAGAGAGTGCTCGGTGGGAAGGATGACAACTAAGCTTCTCCAGGCAAAAGTCTCTCCAGATTCAGCATTTGACACAGACAGCTCGATTCGGGTCAGTGTACATACATCTATATATACATACATACATCGAGATTCACTTCTTGTTTATCGAAGGGGCTGCTGCCAAGAACAAATGAAGAAAGTTTGGACTTTTGGATTCGTGTACGTATTCTTTCGAATAAGGAGAAAACTTGTGTCTCAAGGCAAAGACAGAAAGTGGAAAAGAGCAGCCCCCTTTCGATGTGTTGTACTATGGATGCTTCCAACTATATGTTGTATTATGGATTTTTTTTTTATAAATGTTTACACAATATGATTAAAGTATTCATAACCCATTGATAATCACCAACAAAACAAAAATACACCAAAAAGAACATTTGAGGGGAAAAAAATAGAAGCTGATGATGATGATGATGATGATGATGATTCAGACAGAGTGTTTGTCAATCTTGTTCACGAGTTCGTCTGGTTTGGCTCCGACAACTCTATCAATCTCCTCACCTCTCTTGACAAACACAAACGCCGGCAGCACATTGGCATTGTATGCTCCTGCCACATCCTACATAACAATTTACAAAACTGTATGTAAATAATTAATGATGACTTCGTGTCATAGAGAGATGTGGAGTACTTGGAATGGATTTTTACCATTAATCTGTCCACGTCAACCTTCAAAAACACAACTTTCTCTGCGTACTTAGCCGCAAGCTCCTGGACTTTTGGGTCCATAGCTTTGCAAGGTCCGCACCATGCAGCAGTGAAATCAATCACCAGCTTTGTTCCCAAACCCAAACAAGCCAAACAAATAATCAGCAAAACACATCCATATATATGTATATGTATATGTATATGTATATGTATATGTATGAACAAAATCATTCATCTATTGAAAGAGAGATTTCATTTGGCCAAAAAAACAATACCAATTTATCGGTGATTTTCACGGAATCAAAGAGAGATCTCCATTGCCTTCTGGATTGGATCTCTGTAACCGAAGATCTCTTAGCCTCCATTGGTGTATGAACATCATGATGCACGTACGATGCATTAGCACCCATTGCAGCGTCGTTGCTCTCTTGGAAGATTCTGAATGCAGAGAAGTTTCTCTTCCTAATGTACATATAGAGAGAGAGATGAAAGGAAATCTATGGTTTGATGGTGGAGGAGGAAGAGGGGGGGCTTAAATAGATTTCATTTGAAATGGAATACGATTCAGCCTGAAGCCCTTTATAGAACTAGAGGCCGCGGCTGTAATTCCAAGAATAAAAGAATTTTGTCCATTTATTATTTTATTTTAATCCCTCTTGTTGAAAGAAAAATCATTTCGATATTCGCCACTATTGCAATAACAAAATAATATTTTTTACAAAAAAAAAAAATTGAAAAAGGAAAAACAATTTACTGGCCACTCTCTAAATAATGAACATTTATTATCCTTTATCTATATCGAATCAAAATTGTTTCGCTGAATAATAATAATAACTTACTTTAATTTAATTTAGTTATCGAAATGATTGATAAAGATAAAAATAAATAAAAATTAGAGAATTTAGATTGATGTATATTTTAATATTATTCTTCAAGAAGATGAACATTGATGCGAAGAAAAAACCATTTGCCGCTGCTAAATTGCTAATCATACTCAAACGAAAAATACCACTTCAATTTTATTAATTTGTTTTTATTATAAATTATTCCATATTCTTTTCACTACGTACACATCATAAAGAATATATTAGCTTTCGTCGGTCCTTTTTTTTTCATATTAGACGCGTAAACACTTTGTTTTGAAGTTGAACTCTTGTATTTTAATTCAAACACAAATTCTATTTTGTTCGGAGTGTATATATTGGATGATATAGACATTCTATGTATTAAATCACATTTTTCGGTTCGAGTACAATTTTTATATTCACATATTGGGTATGTAAATAAATAATCATTTTTTTCTTCTAATTTGGGATAAACTAATTAATCGTATTGTAATTAGAGATAATGGGATCATATATTTAATAATCCATGGCCATAATTAATATCATTATAAATTATCTTCTTTGTAACGTCACCTCACCATATCTTTTAACATGTTTTTCGAAAAAATACTTTCTAAAAGATCACTCAAACGATCATATTTAACTTGGAATTTTTTTCAAAATATATAATCGAAAAGTTAGATACATCTTACGAATAATTCAATCAATTCTTTTAAGTTATCATTGTCTATATAGTCTCATATATATATATATATACACAATTCTTAGATCTATTTCATTTCGATTCGTTCGATTCATCTTGTAACTCTTCTACCTACTACTTAGAATGCTATCAAAAACCGATCATAGAAGATATGATCCAATATATATGGTATAAGAATATATTCGGTGTTAACTACATATATATTATGATTTCTCTCTTTGGCAAAAGAATGCTTAATGCTGGCCGCAGAATGAAATTATTCCTAGGCCAACTGGCATTGATTCTTAGTTTTGCCCGCAAACAAGAGAATACTGTTCCATGCAACTTTAAACCCATTTTTATTACATAATTAAAATATACACGACTATTCAATTATAGTTTATAATAAAGATTCAAATTAAATTTATGTTTCTGTAATGGTTATTATTCAAGTGTTTTCATTTTTTGCCCACGAGAATTGATTTTATTTCCTCTTTTTTTTTTTTTGGACATCCCAGTCGAAAATAGAGCTTAAAAAACATAGGAGTATTATCAAAAGAAAAGTTCTTATTAGGTAATTAAAAATTGTCTTATATGTAATTGGTTACATTTTAATCCACATGATCACATCCTATAGGCTTCACCAATGTATGGTCAACACGTGTATTTGATTGCTTGCATATATATATATAATACAATATGAGATTATGGTTATGGTTATAATCCAATATGATCCGGTTAAGAGGATTTGCCACTTAACCACAAAATACAGGAAAATTAATTGGACAAATTAAACTTGAGTTGCAAAATCCGGAATTTGCAGCTTGGGCTGAGTTTGGGCCAACGCTCAAAACTCTAAGAAGTTCGGCCCATTGGCTGTCGTTCCATTCAATTTGGTCTTTACAATTTGTTTGTATAATACTACAATCCTTTTTTTTTTAATGAAAATAATACTATAATCTTGTTATTATCATATATATATATATATATATATATATATATATATATTTGAAAGATTTTATTGTCTTCCATTAATTCAAAGATCCATTGCATCACGGGTTTTAAATTTTTTATGTTCGTTGAACCTGTCAATCTATTTATTAATTTACACACGTGTGTGAGTATGCATGCATCTTGACAATTTTAATTTTTAACACGTGTGTGTGTGTGTAGAGTCACAAGAATATGTAATTATGTATTTGGATACGTATGTCTAAGATATACAATGAAAAAAAATTATAATGAATTTTTTATTGAAAATCAAATCCGAAAAAAAAATACAAATCGAAAATTTTAAATCTAAAAATGACTGAAACTAACGGTTGAAAAACCCGAAATATCAATAGCTATACAAGATTCTGGTTTTGGCAAAGGTAGATATTTTAGCAGTCTTTTCTCACAACATTGACACAGCAGGTAAACATCGTTCAAAATTCTTTCCAAATATTACTTATGATAGTGGAGTCATGGCTAATCATGGATTTTTTTTAATCGAATATCTTAGACGGAAATCAAAACTAATCATAAAAATCGTCAAAGTTTATGTAAATATACATCTCCAAATTATAGGGTTCGAACTCTGGGTGGGACAAACGTTAAGCACTCTCGGATGAATTATCCAGATTTCGATATAACAATTCCGACATTTATTTTCAATTAAACAAAAAAACGTATCATTAATATATACTTTAAAATCCCCTAAAAATTCTTGAAAAAAAAACTAATAGACAATTTCAAGAAAGTCATTTTATGCATCATTCTTTTTTTTTTTGTAAATTTCATTGATTTTATTTTCTAGATATTGAAATTAAGCCTTTTGTATGTTGGAATAGGGATGAAATCCACAACAATAAAGGTACAAAAAAAATCGAGGCAATAAGATTTTACCTTTGCAACTTTTTTCAAAATCGGAATCCCAAGAATCCAGCATCCACTATGTCATGTCCATTTTTTCACGCTGTCCACTTGTTCCTATCGGATCCAATTCTCCACACAAAAAAAAAAAAAAAAAAAATTAAAGTATGATCCTTTGGTAAAAACAACAATCGGTTTTCTAGTTTTAATAATTTGTGAATAATAAAATTACTTTGTATTTTTTATATTAAATAAATTCACGTCATTTAACAAAACTCCTAACCATTCAAACATGTAAGTTTTTTCCCCTAAATTCCCACCCTATTGGGTTAATTTAATTGCATTGGAATTTTCACTGTCTATATATGTAAGGCCTATACATATATATATATATATATATATATATATATAATCTATGATGATTTCAATAGTAGATTTCGAGTAATTAGTGGACGTCAGCTTTATTACTTGATTGACCTCTCTTTTTTGTGATAGCTCATATAAAAAAAGGTCAACGGCTTTGACTTTTTTTTATATGTTTCTATAGTTTTCTCTAGAAGTGAATTGCCCAAGAAGAAAAAAGTCGAAATCCTTAAATGAATCAATCAAAAAAATTAAGTAATGAAAAATAAAACCATATATATATATATATAATTTATATATATAAATATATATAATACCCGAAAAACCCCCACCATTGATTATTAATGTAAAAATCTCTAAATTATAGTGCCAAGATATTCAAACTATCCAACTCCTTTTAACGTTTGATTCACACAACAAAACTACAACATTATAAGATATATTTGTGTAATTAACTCAAACAACTGAATTTTTTTTATATGCATGCATGATCATTGATGTAGATTAGTAGATATTTATCTTTAAGTTTGGACTAGTTTTTATCTTCATATAAAATATTTAAAATTTAAAAGTTCATAAATTAGGATTTCAGTCAATAACTTCTATTAAAAAAATTGGGAAGAAAATTCCATTTATATACTGAAAATTACATCTAAAAAACAGAAGAACTACCATATAAAAAAGATCAATTTTTTTAATCCAGAGTTTCTAAAAGATCATATATATATGTATGTATGTATGTATGTATGTATGTATGTATGTATGTATATGTTAAAAAAGTCAAAAGGGAAAAAACTGAAGTCAAATGGGGCACTTACGTCGAAAGCATCGAACACTTACATGTGCCGACGGAGGAAATTCTCCCCAATGTCATTCCAGTTTTTTATTTTTATTTTTATTTTTATTTTTCTCTCTTTATTATTGGTTTTTTTTATATCATATTCAATTGCAAAGAACAATACTTTCGGATGCAAAATTTATTTTACATTAATAATCAAAATATGCAGAATTTCTCACTCAGCCAAAGATGCAAACTTTATTAAATATGCAGAATTTTTCTTATACCTAATAGAATATTTATTAAATAAAATATATTTTTAGACGAACCAGACCTGCGGATTAGGTTGCTGGTTTTATTATATACTTATGTTTTAAACAAAAATAATTGTATATTCTACGAAAGAAATAAATGTCTTTTTATTACAGAAATAAATAATTTAAAAAGCCTGCAGAAGAAGTATATTCTTGGGACAAGAAGTCATGTAATAATAACAATGGATTAATAATAAATGTTTCTCCCATCCCATCAAAACTTAGGTTTTTCTCCATTTAGGACATTATAGGCTTTGGACCTGCTGCATCACACGTCATCCTTTCTTTATCTACTAGTAATTATTAAGAAATTGTCCATAAATTTTTTTGACAAATAAAAATTGTAATAATATAACATAAAAAAAGGCATTTAATTTCTATTTTGGCACTCACACAACTAACTCGTCATCGTCATCAACATCATCATCATCATCATAATCGCCTTTTGAAGAATTTTGTGCAGCGAATTGTAGCCATTCAAATGCGAGAGCGAATTTTGGCTTTTTACAGCACACACACACATATGGATCGCTTCACCACTTTCCTTCGATCAAAATACCGACGAACTAAAATCGCCCAAAACGAATATAGGGGAACATTGGTACGCAGATTTTGAATTGGGGAATTAGGGTTTTGAAATATCAATGAATTAAAATTATATGTTTATTCAGTTATCATATTATTTTTTACTGGTTTTAACTTGAGATTTTTAAGATAGAGGTAGCTATATATATATATATATATATATTTAATTTTCATGGAAAAAATTATCTCTGTATATATGTTTTATAGTTTTTAACTTAACAAAAAAATAAAAATTCAAGGCGTTTTATATCCGGAGAGAGGTTACATGACCATTGGAGTACTAGAGATATACTCCCTTTCCATATGATAATTGTTTTTTTTTTAAATTTTATTGTTTGAGAAAGTTTAAAGTAGATCGTATGTCCAATCGAAATTGGAATATTATCTAATCGTTAGAATTTTATATTAATAACCTAAAAAAGTGCAAACAACATGGTACATATATGTATCTTATCCACACACATATATTCATGTTTTGATATAATAAATCATGTGAGAGTTACTTAGAAAAATCAAAATCGCGACAACCCTTGTTTGAGTTTTGTGACGTGGATTTTTCTTTACCCACATAACACAAACCTACCAAACATTTAAATAAAAAAATGAGAAAAAAATATGGTGTATCGATAAACTCAGATGCATCGATTCTGAAAGGTCCCCTCATCTCAAAGAAAAAGGTGATTGATTGTGAGTCTCATATATATATATATATATATAAAATTGATTTCAATGTTGTAATATTGATGTAAATTACATTCCACAACCACAATAATAAAATTCTAGATATATATCGCGGAAAAGTTGTAAGGTATATGAAATGATTGCTTTCTAAAATATAAACAGTATGACCCAAAAAAAATACCATATGATTGTGACTTAGTGAGAATATGAATATGTGCATGTAGAGCTATCTAAACCAATAACTCACATTTTCATGTAAATATCAAATATCACTATTTTGATAAATATATCATATTTGTAGAAATATAAAATTATGGAAATTAAATAAGAAAGAAAGACAAATAAAAAGGAACAAAATTACTTTTATTGCTATATCTCTTCTTCTTGTTACATTATAATGAAAATAATTCATATAATTATAGGAAAATTTATTGAAAGAAACAAGGAAATAAATGTACGAAATAAACAAATAAGAAAAAATATAATTGACACGATATATATTTTATTCTTGATTGATGTTATGTCTTTAATTATTATCAATCATATCAAATCTCCATATTTTGTTTATATTTCAACAATATTTACATACATATTTCAAGTTTCATCTATATTTTAGAATTTGTAATATATTTGATTCGGATTCTATCAATTTGAATTTAGAAAAGTAATATTCAATTGATTTTAGATAGGATTTCGATTTGAATCCTTGTTATGTAGTATTCAATTTGGGGTTATTTGATTTTGAATACCAAAAAGTAAATTACATGCCTTTGGTATAGCACTAGTACATCCAACAGTTCCATTTAGAATTTAATAAATCAATGCCAATAAATATTATAATAATGTATGGAGATACTCTTTGGACTTACTTTGTGAATTTTCAAATTTTTTTTTTTACTTTTGGTAGTGGCTCACATTCTGCCATATTTGACCTGTTATTATTTTATACCACAAATGATGCTATATCAGATTCGATATTACATCTTACAGGTAAATAAACGTAATCGGAACTTATTTTTTTATTTCAATATATTTTCTTAAAATAAAATTATGCGAGTACACATGTATATACTTTTTTTTTTTTATTTGGTATCTTTGTGACATGCACGATGGGTCCCATGAAGAATGTAAATAGGGTTAGGGCAAAAGTCTACAACCACTATGCGTCATTGCCTCTCGCCCTCATTAAAGCAAACATCCTTTTCCTTGTACTTGTGAATCCAACCCTCGCCAATTCTCTCTCTCTCTCTCTCTCTCTCTCTCTAAACAAAAACATTATGCAAGAGCCTTTTCCGATGCATTGAACTTGGAAATGGATCACTTCTCTCTAGCTTTTTCACCGACCAACCAATTAGCAATAGCCACTTGTCACACATATCCATTGGTCAAATCTATAAAATGGAAATATAGATATACCCTATATCTCTCTTGGTCTATATTCGAACATTTATTTTTAATTAATTAGATATAGGCTTTCATAGATTTAGTATATGCTCGTTTAAAATTGTTAGGGTTTATGTTTTTGTAATGGTGAGGGTATATGACCAAAGTGCAAATCATGTCAAGCTCTTATATATACTTCCATCTACCTACATATTATTTTTTGTTACATATCATGCTATATATATATATATATTTCCCTAGGATTTGTGCCATGTTTTATTAATACCTTTTGTGTTTCACTTAATCTCTTTTAAAAGCTCCAATAAACCAAAGCAAATAATTTTAATAAATAATAAAAATTCCCTAATAAAATTATTTTCTTAATTTTTTTATATTGCCGCCTTACTTTAGTAAAGAATGTTGACAATCTTGAATAGCTCACGAGGAGTTGACCAAGGTTTGAAAAATAAAGATTTGGGGATTTGCCCTTGCGGGGGTGTTTGAAGGATATATGTACGTGCGGGTAATAATGGATTTTATAATTTCTTCATTGAAGATATATCGAGTTGGATATATAGATTTCGTAATTTAAAAATAAATAGATTTTTATAAATGTCTAAAATTAAATATTCCCATAAATCACAATATGCATCCACACGTATTGCTTATAAAAGAGTCTCATACGAGGACATTTCCCAAGCCCACAAAGATACAATAAACAAAAAGGAAAGACAGAAGCGAGTCTTACTTGAGTGCGTGCCTTTATAAATAAAAAATAATGTATTTTGGACTTCCAACGGCCAAAAATACATAAATAGCTGCAATTTCCGTCATCTTTGCCACGAAAAGTAATTCAAATAATTGTTTTTTTTATTGCATATATTGTGGACCGTTTAAATAATAATTATATTAAGGTTAGTCATCAACTTCCTACTATATATATAAACCTAAACAAAACTGAAATTTCATATACGAAAATGTAAAAGACGAATAATTACTGCTGGGATATGAAAAATAAAATCCAGGAATGCTTCGGCGGCAGTTGAAATTATCATTCACTCTTAATATTACTCGTATTTAAATAAAATTTAATTAAGAAAGTAAGCATGATTAATGTTTTTACGACAATGTCATAAACATGTCGTCTCCCTTTATTGTATTCACACCGACATGCTTTTTCTTTACTGCTTCCGCTTTGTTTTCACCCATTCTCAAAATCAAACATGATATTGTTCTCTCTCTTGCATTTATTTATTTATATTTTAATTTAAAACGCCTAAATTGATTTCATGAAACCTCATCATTGCATCGGTTCAGTGCAGCAAACACCATACCTAATTCTCCACGAGATTATTTCTTCCTTACAGTATATATAAACTAATTAATTAACAATTCTTCGAATATTCTAAGGGCTTCCAGCACAAATTATTCCGAGAGTCTCGCTAATAATAATAAGGGATGGATATATATATGACAAATTTGGACTGCCGATTAGTTCTATTTCGGATTGGATAATAATAAGGGATGGATATGTATATATGACAAATTTGGACTGCCGATTAGTTCTATTTCGGATTGGATAATATATAAAATTTATCTTTAATTAAACGAAAGAAAATTCGATTTTATATTCTGTCTGTTTTTTTTTTCTGTATCATTCGAAAGGATATCAGCAAATTTCATAAGAAATCGTGGGGAATAATTAATGTTGTCATCTTTCACTTCTGTCAAAAGGTATAACTTTTTCTCTAAACAGAAATTTGTATAACCAAACATGTTTTTTCCCATAAATTATAAAGCATAAATTTGTCCTTATCCAGATAATCGCGTGTGGATATATTGCATACATATATACATACATATACATATATAAATTAAAGTAAGATATATAATATTTGTTAGGAGAGAAATTAATGTAGATTGTGGAGCCAAATTACAACACTCGAATGTCGAAAGCTTACCAACAAAGACGCAATCCACGAGTGTTTTTTTTTGGGAGAATGTGGAACGAGGCGAAAGTAAAAAAAAAAAAAAAACTAAATTAACAAAAAATTTTTTTGTCTTCCTATCATATAGTGACATGAAATTTCTGAATTTAGAAAGAGAGACTAAAATATCAAAATTGCAGGAAGTTAAAAAAAAAAATCAATATCATACTATTTCCATCGAAATTTCATTGGTGTATAAATATTGACGTTTTTTTTAATCTTTTTCACCTATTAATCAAAATAGAATTCGAATCTTATATCATAAAAAAACAATAATTATATAATTGATCTACATGACAGAAGACTTAAATGATGGTTAAACATACAACTAATCAACATTTATTGCCAACAATAAAGTAATGTACAAATTAAAATTTAGTGCTAAAAATAAATAAATACACCGGGTTTTAATTAATAATATATCACTCCGATTGTCAATTTTATGGAGTTTCATACCAAAAAAAAAAAAGACAAGAAGGCAAACGTGGTCCCTCAATTTATTTTTAGATGGTCCGTCGTGAATATTCCTAGAATGTTTTTTTTTTTAATATTTGATACTTGTATTCCGACTCCGCATCATTTAAATTCACAAAACACGAGAATGATTTTGTTATTCGAAATCCAAATGATATCGTTAAAGTCCACTTTAATACAATTTTCATTGATATTTTCTAACACTAAAAAATTTAACCCATTTGTTATAACATCAGAAAATTTATTCAAGACATTTTTTAATTTAATGGTGGAAGCGAAATAGACACAGTAAAATGGTTTATCGGAAAGCATAGAAAGTGCGTGTGGGGTTTAATTACGAAATTGACACGGAGGTTTCGTTTTTGCGTAGAATCTTGTGAAGGCGCTATACGTATGGCAAAGTCAGCGGGTTTTTGCCTTCTCTGTCTCTTTATAAATTTGGGACAATAACCCACTTGTTGTCCCAAACTCAGAGACTAAGCACATCTATCGTTCTTGTCCCCTCGATCTCTCTTTTCTCTCTCTCTCTCTCTCTCTCTGTCTCTCGGTTTCTTCACAGAGGATTTGGTTCAGTGGGTCTGTGCGGAGATGGGAGAGAGATCATCAAGGCAAAGCAACAAATTCGATGAAGAGATTAGTGGTGGTGAAGTGAATTGGAGTGTGGTTGAAGAAGACTGCGTCGATTGGAGAGGAAAACCTTCTGACCCTGACAAGCATGGTGGCATGAGAGCTGCTTTCTTTGTTCTTGGTACTCTCTCTCTCTCTCTCTCTCTCTCTCTCTCATAATTCATGAAAATATTTCGGCTAAGTATGAAATCGGATTATATGTTGGATGAAGGCACTAGATTTAGCATCTGAATCGACACATGGGTCTCTAGGGTTTGATGCTGATCAGATGTAAGAAAAACCAGATAGTTTTTACCGTACTATGAAGAAAAACCATGTCCTTAGAATCACTGTTATCAGGTCTGAACATGAGGACAGCTTTTTCACGTTGTTTGGTTTGCCGGCTTTTTGATGCTTTGTTGTTGTTACGTCATGCTGCTATATATATATATATATATAGATATATATTCCATACTTTATATACGATTTCTGTAAATTTAATTTAATTTTGTGGAAAATACACGATTCGATGGATCAGGACTGCAAGCGTTCGAGATAATGGGGATCGCGGCCGTAGGGAACAACCTCATAACGTATGTGATAAATGAGATGCATTTCCCGCTGTCTGAAGCCGCAAATATTGTCACCAATTTTGTCGGTACCATATTCATATTGGCCCTCCTCGGCGGCTATCTCGCCGACACCTTCCTCGGAAGCTTCTGGACTATTCTCATCTTCGGCTTCGTCGAACTCTCGGTATATATATATATATATATATATATATATTCACAATTCATATATATCTTCTTATTCCTTTGATATCTGATCTATATATACATCTATATCTATGCATGTGCATGTGCGTATATAATCATGAATATGTGTGGGGGTGAGCTTGTATATACGTCTCTTGTAACAAGTATATGAGTGCTTTTGTTCATGCATATGTCATGGTATGCTCATATATGTATGTGCACGCCGGTACGTATATAAAGAAAAATATCCTATGTACTGTGCATGCATACGAAATGATGACAAATATCATGCATGGAATGCTCTCATATACGTCTCTCTTGTACAATTTTACGCATATATGCACGTACACACGCGTATATACAGAAAATATCTTATGCATACGATACGAACGATGTACTGAACAATTGGGGATTGACATATACATATATATATATCAACAGGGATTCATACTACTGTCCGTACAAGCGCATCTGCCACAGCTAAAACCACCAAAGTGCAACCCGATGATGGCGGCAGAACAAAACTCGTGCGAAGAGGCAAAAGGGTTCAAGGCGATGATATTCTTCGTGGCGATCTACTCATAATTCATGAAAATATTTCGGCTAAGTATGAAATCGGATTATATGTTGGATGAAGGCACTAGATTTAGCATCTGAATCGACACATGGGTCTCTAGGGTTTGATGCTGATCAGATGTAAGAAAAACCAGATAGTTTTTACCGTACTATGAAGAAAAACCATGTCCTTAGAATCACTGTTATCAGGTCTGAACATGAGGACAGCTTTTTCACGTTGTTTGGTTTGCCGGCTTTTTGATGCTTTGTTGTTGTTACGTCATGCTGCTATATATATATATATATATAGATATATATTCCATACTTTATATACGATTTCTGTAAATTTAATTTAATTTTGTGGAAAATACACGATTCGATGGATCAGGACTGCAAGCGTTCGAGATAATGGGGATCGCGGCCGTAGGGAACAACCTCATAACGTATGTGATAAATGAGATGCATTTCCCGCTGTCTGAAGCCGCAAATATTGTCACCAATTTTGTCGGTACCATATTCATATTGGCCCTCCTCGGCGGCTATCTCGCCGACACCTTCCTCGGAAGCTTCTGGACTATTCTCATCTTCGGCTTCGTCGAACTCTCGGTATATATATATATATATATATATATATATTCACAATTCATATATATCTTCTTATTCCTTTGATATCTGATCTATATATACATCTATATCTATGCATGTGCATGTGCGTATATAATCATGAATATGTGTGGGGGTGAGCTTGTATATACGTCTCTTGTAACAAGTATATGAGTGCTTTTGTTCATGCATATGTCATGGTATGCTCATATATGTATGTGCACGCCGGTACGTATATAAAGAAAAATATCCTATGTACTGTGCATGCATACGAAATGATGACAAATATCATGCATGGAATGCTCTCATATACGTCTCTCTTGTACAATTTTACGCATATATGCACGTACACACGCGTATATACAGAAAATATCTTATGCATACGATACGAACGATGTACTGAACAATTGGGGATTGACATATACATATATATATATCAACAGGGATTCATACTACTGTCCGTACAAGCGCATCTGCCACAGCTAAAACCACCAAAGTGCAACCCGATGATGGCGGCAGAACAAAACTCGTGCGAAGAGGCAAAAGGGTTCAAGGCGATGATATTCTTCGTGGCGATCTACCTGGTGGCGTTAGGGAGCGGCTGCGTGAAACCGAACATGATAGCTCATGGCGCCGATCAATTCCCTCGGGCCCACCCTAAACAATCGAAACGCCTCTCTTCTTACTTCAATTTCGCTTATCTCGCATTCTCGATCGGCGAGCTCGTCGCCCTCACGCTTCTCGTCTGGGTCCAAACGCATTCGGGAATGGACGTCGGGTTCGGAGTCTCTGCTGCCGTCATGGCGATGGGTCTCGTCAGTTTGGTTGCGGGCACTATGTATTATCGCAACAAACGTCCGAGCCGAAGCACCTTCACTCCCATTGCTCAAGTAAGTTCCGATCTTTTCTTTGTGTGAACATATATATACATGTGTGTGTGTGTGTGTGTGATTGGTAATTTAATTTGATTTCGATTTATTTTCGGTGATCTGTTGGTTATATATAATCCTTATTATATCCTTAATTATTCCGTGTCTGGAGCAAAAATTCACATAAAAAAATAATCTAACCGAATTAAACTGATACAATATAATTGATAACACATATATTTGGTTTAAGATATATGTGGTTCTAGTGGGTGCAAGCAATCCTTTTGGATACAGGATTTACTTTTTCATATAAAACAAAGGCACGTGATTTGAAATGTTTCTTGAGCTGTCGGTTCACGGTTTCATGGCATGAGATTTGTAAGATTATTTTTTTTCTAACAATGTTTTAGTATATAAACACTATCGTATTCTTGCAAGTTTCTATATATACATATATACATGTATTCAGATCTAAATTGGACCCTCCAAATAAGCATAGTTGACTCATGCCTCTTGCTGGGTAATTAGTTAATTAATTCACTAAAAAAAATTAAAAGGTTGATTATATATATATATATATATATGATTGTTTTATTACAAATTGGATAAAATAAACAAATCGCATTTGGTGGCTAAGCTAATCACGACTCTTTTCTAAATGGATTTGATTATTGGATTTTGCTCCTCAATCGGTTGTCCAACTTTGTTTCCTTATAATCATTACAAATTATTATTAATATTTTTTTTTCTCTTATTGGCCCTTCTTCTTAATCAATCCGATATCTACTTACATACACGTGTTACACACACATATATATAAATATTATATTATATACCGTATTGAATTTATATGTTAATGGAATGTGTGAATACCCTACTCGAGTTTTCTAAAAGCATGATGGAAGATTCCGCATATTCAGCTTTTCTAATTCATACATATCACACACACAATATATATTTGTATATATAATTATAAAAATAATAACGATGTGGTGGTGTATAAAAAAATAAAGGTAATAGTGGCTGCAATGTTGAAAAGGAAGCTAGTTTGTCCCTCTGACCCAAGGATGCTTCACGGAAGCCTTCATCTCTCAAACGGCGTCGTTCCCTCTCCCACTTTCCCTTACACTCCTCGTTTCAGGTTATCCTTTCTCTCTTTATCTTTATATATATATATATATTTCTAATTATTAAACGACATATGATTGATATTAATCCAGGTTCTTGGACAAGGCATGCATAAGAACACAAGACGGGAACACAAAGGAGAGCTCATGGAGGCTATGTACGGTAACACAAGTGGAACAAGTGAAAACCCTAATCTCACTTGTCCCGATCTTTGCATGTACAATCATCTTCAACACAATCTTGGCTCAGCTTCAGACATTCTCAGTCCAACAAGGAAGTTCCATGGACACTCATCTCACAAATTCCTTCCGCATCCCTCCCGCCTCTCTCCAATCCATTCCTTACATTATGCTCATCTTCCTCGTCCCGATCTACGACTCTTTCTTCGTCCCCTTCGCCCGAAAAATCACGGGCCACGACTCGGGACTTCCCCCTTTGGCAAGAATCGGTATCGGCCTCTTCCTCTCGACGTTCTCGATGGTTTCAGCTGCCTTGCTCGAGAAGAAACGTCGGGATACCGCCATTTTTGATGGCAAAACGCTGAGTATCTTTTGGATCACTCCTCAGTTCTTGATCTTCGGGTTGTCGGAGATGTTTACGGCCGTAGGGCTGATCGAATTCTTCTACAAGCAATCAGTGAAGGGCATGGAAGCTTTCTTGATGGCCTTGACGTATTGTTCATATTCGTTCGGGTTTTACTTGAGTTCGGTTCTCGTTTCTGTTGTGAATAAGGTTACTTCGTCCTCACGCAACGCAGAGGGCTGGCTGTCGGAGAATGATCTCAACAAAGACAGGCTTGATTTGTTCTATTGGCTTCTCGCCGTTCTTAGCCTCTTGAACTTTGTTAACTATCTCTTTTGGTCTCGATGGTACGTCAAGTCTTCCAAGACCAACAACGATGTTGTCGGAGACGATAACTTAGCCTAATTAATGCATGTTAATGTACATATATATATATATATGTTGTATCCAATTAATGTACTCCGGCATATATATATATATATATATATATAGTTTGATGAATGTTGTTCCTAATTAGTTTCCCTGGTCTCTATAATTCGTGTACTCCTTTAATTTACAACCCTAGTTGAATATCATATGCTTCTATTTCTATATATATACACGTTTTCTTTTATATAAAGGGTGAGAGTTATGCACAAGAGTCAAGTGGGTAGACAAGGATATGAATGTACTTACATCAAATAATATGTTTCAAAGTTTTTTAATGTGATATATCGTATATCATGTATTACGGGAGGTTGTTAATAGCTCGAGATTTGGGTTTCCTTAATTATCTCCTAGGTTAACCTTCTTAAAGTTGTATATAATCTAATGTATCAGAATAAGTAAAGGCAAGCCGTTCTCTTTGAAACCCCCGAGCTTGGTACGTATCATGGTATCAGAGCTCCGACCACCACAACATCCGCTTTAACTTTCGAATCAATGGCCACCGATACCGGAAACACATCTGCCGAACCGATCCCGACTCCTCACTCGAACCCCGACACGACCAACCCTTCGAACTCAACATCGACGATGAATGGGCGAGACAACACAGCGATTCCCCGACGAACAATATCGCCGTACGACCTGACCCCAAGTGACAATCCCGGATTGATCCTCTCTCAGCCGTTGCTTCGTGGAGACAACTATGATGAATGGGCAATCAACATCCGTCAAGCACTCAAATCCAGAAAGAAGTTTGGATTCGTGGATGGATCCATTCTACAACCTGCAACTGATTCAACGGACTTCGAAGATTGGGATACGAACAATGCACTCATTGTTTCGTGGATAAAGAACACTCTGGAACCGCACCTTCGTTCCGATGTGGTTCATCGTGAATTTGCTACAGATTTGTGGGAATATTTGAAGCGTCGGTTTGGGAAGACTACCGCTCCTCGTCTTCTTAAACTTCGAAGTGATCTTGCCAATTGTAGGCAACACGGAATGACAGTTGAATCATACTTCGGAAAGCTGACCAAATTATGGGACGATCTAGCAAACTTTAGATCCTTGAAAGTTTGCAAATGTGGTCGCTGCTCGTGCGACATTGCAGCTACACTCGAAAAAGAGAGGAATGAAGATCGGTTATATGAATTTCTTCTTGGCCTTGATGAGACGAGATACGGCACTGTGAGATCTAATCTCCTTTCGCGACAACCTCTACCAAGCCTCGAGGAAGCCTATAACATGGTGATTCAGGACGAGGAAACCCAGCATGTCACCAGCTATACCGATGACAGACACGATGCTGTAGCATTCACGGTACGCTCTGTACCGAACCCTATGCTGAAATCCCGTCACAAACCAACCGAGAAGGATGCTTCGCTTGTGTGTTCGAATTGCGGAAGAGCTGGCCATGTTGCAGAAGGTTGTTTCAAAATCATTGGTTTCCCCGACTGGTGGGGAGAAAGACCCCGAAACAGAGCCGGAAGAGGCAGAGGAATCTCTGCTCCAGCCAATCAGGGAGATCGAAGCCGAACACCGATAGCTCGCGCAAATGCTGCTCAAGTTTCCGCGACTGTGACAGATGCTGATAAAGGATTCGTTCCTGGCATTACCGAAGATCAGTGGAAGGCCCTGTTGACAATGCTCAATGCCGGGAAAACCGAATGCTCAGAGAACATGACTGGTAAGCTTACAACTCTATCTTGGATTTTAGACACTGGATGTTCTCAGCATATGACAGGGGATAAATCTGCCTTCACATATCTCCATTCGACTTTGCCTTGTTCGGTTGTTCTTCCTGATGGTCGACAGACATTATCGATTGAATCGGGTCTTGTTACACTCGGCCACCATCTCAGAATTTCGAATGTCTTATACGTTCCTGGTCTTCATGCTAACTTGATATCCGTCTCTCAACTATTGGCTGCTTCTGATTGCTTCGTCACATTTGCTCCACGATTCTGTCTCATCCAGGACCGCATTTCCAAGACGCCGATTGGAGCGGGTGATATGAAAGGAGGTCTCTATTATTTTCGCAGTACAGCGAATCTTGCAGCTACTCGGACGTTGGATTCTCCTTCTCTTGAAGTCTGGCACAAGCGTTTGGGTCATCCTTCACCGAGTGTGCTTGCAAAGATTCCGAGTTTTGAATTTTCTGCTGCTAGTTCTTTCGTTAATAAGCAATGCGATGTATGCTTGCGTGCAAAACAGACACGAGATTCTTTCCCGTTGAGTATCAATAAAAGCTCGGAGGTTTTTGAGTTGATTCATTGTGATTTATGGGGGCCGTACCGAACACCCTCGTTCTCCGGAGCACGATATTTCTTGACAATAGTTGATGATTTCTCACGTGGCACATGGATCTATTTGCTAAAGAACAAAGCTGAGGCATCAATACAACTTCGACATTTTCTTGCTCTCGTAGAACGTCAATTTAACAGCAATGTTAAGAAAATCAGATCGGACAACGGCTCAGAATTTATGTGTCTCCGACATCACTTTGCTGAAAAGGGAATTCTTCACGAAACGTCATGCGTCGGGACACCTCAACAGAATGGACGAGTTGAACGGAAACACCGTCATATATTAAATGTTGCAAGAGCATTGATGTTTCAAGCAAATTTACCTATCGAATATTGGGGGGACAGTGTGTTAACGGCGGGATATCTAATCAATCGGACTCCATCATCAGTTCTTGATGGTCGGACCCCGTACGAACTGATTCACGGCCATGCACCGCTTTACGATCATCTTCGTATTTTTGGAAGCTTGTGTTATGTACACAACCAAAATCGAATTGGAGATAAGTTTGCTCCAAGAGGCCATAAATCAGTTTTTATTGGTTACCCATCGGGAACGAAAGGATGGAAAGTTTTTAACCTGGAAACACGGAAGTTCCAGGTTTCTCGCGACGTCGTCTTCTGTGAAGATCGGTTTCCTTTCCAGGAAGAACTGGGTTCTTCTCCATCGACTGTGCATTTACAACCTTCGGCTCCTCTGCATCTCGATGATAGTGATGTTTTTGTATATCCAGCTCCGCCTGTGATTTCTTCTGCTCCACCTGATCATCTTTCATCAGCTGATCATGCGCTAGCCTCTGAGCCAACTGATCAGACCTCTACTTCCCCAGAATTGCTCGAAACCAACCCCGCAACTGAAACTGCCTTGGTTTCCGCTGGTACAGAACAGGAAATTACTTCGTCTGCTGCTTCAGTGCCGATTCCTATTGTCGAACACCAACAGATAGTCGAGTCATCGCTTCAATCTGATCAAGATGCTCTTGGCAGAGGTCATCGACAAAGGTTTCCGAATGTACTGCTTCGAAACTTTGTTACCAACACTATGCAAGTTTCTCGCAATGGTTGCTCCTCTACTCCTGCGCAGAATTTGGCAGGTACTCCTTTTCCCATTGCTGAATATGTCTCATACAATAAAATCCTTCCTTCGCATATGGCGTTTTTGGCTGCGGTTAGTACAGAGACTGAACCACGCAATTATAAAGAAGCAATTCAAGACGACAGATGGCGTACGGCTATGCAGGATGAATTTCGGGCACTAGAGAAAAATAATACATGGACTTTAGAACCTCTGCCGCCATCGAAGAAAGCAATTGGGAGCAAATGGATATTCCGGATAAAGTATCGCTCTAATGGCTCCATTGAACGTCGCAAAGCGCGACTTGTGATTCTTGGCAACAAACAGACAGAGGGCATTGATTACGATGAGACGTTTGCCCCTGTTGCAAAGATGGTTACGGTACGAATTTTTCTGGCAGTTGCATCAGCCCGTCAATGGGATATACACCAAATGGATGTCCACAACGCATTTTTACATGGAGATCTTGATGATGAAGTGTATATGAAACCACCACCGGGGTTCACGTCCTCTTCCCCTAATCTTGTTTGTCGATTGCGTAAATCCCTATACGGGCTCAAACAAGCACCCCGTTGTTGGTTTGCTAAACTCGCAACAGCACTTCGGACATATGGCTTCAACCAATCACAATCTGACCATTCTCTTTTTGTTTTCCACAAGGGAAATACTCGGATTCATGTTTTGGTTTATGTCGACGATCTCCTTGTCACCGGAAACTCGACTAGTGCTGTGGAAAACTTCAAGAAATACCTCGGGTTATGCTTTCATATGAAAGATCTCGGCCAACTCAAGTACTTCCTAGGCATCGAGGTTGCTCGCGGTCCTCTGGGCATATCATTATGCCAACGGAAGTACACACTCGATATTTTAACAGAAACGGGTCTGTTGGGTTCGAAACCAGTTGCATTCCCTCTTGAGCAGAATCACCGTCTTGGACTTTCTACCAGCCAAGTCCTGTCGGATCCGGAACCGTACAGGCGCCTTGTCGGGCGATTGATCTATCTTCTAGCCACACGCCCAGACATTACGTACGCTGTTCATATCTTGTCACAGTTTATGAACGAACCGCGACACGATCACTGGGAGGCAGCACTTCGAGTTGTCCGTTATCTCAAACGCCGACCGGGACAAGGTATTCTCCTTCGGTCAGACTCCGATCTCCGCTTATATGGTTGGTGTGACTCCGATTGGGCAGGTTGTCCTACGTCACGGAAATCACTTTCTGGTTGGATCATTCATCTCGGACAATCTCCCGTTTCGTGGAAATCCAAGAAACAACATACGATCTCTTTGTCTTCGGCTGAGGCTGAATACCGTGCAATGGCTGTTACGACATGCGAATTGTTATGGCTTAAGGGTCTGTTGAACATCCTCGGTGTCGATCATGCTGCACCTATGGCGCTTCATAGTGACAGCCAATCAGCTTTGCAAATTGCAGCAAATGCTGTGTTCCACGAACGCACGAAACACATTGAGGTTGACTGTCACTTCCTCCGCCACCACATTACCAACCGCAACATCGTCACTCGCCATGTATCGACTCACCACCAACTTGCAGACATCTTCACCAAATCGCTCGGGAAGAAGGAGTTTGACACATTCTTGGACAAGTTGGGCATAGATAACATATATGCTCCAACTTGAGGGGGGGTAATGTGATATATCGTATATCATGTATTACGGGAGGTTGTTAATAGCTCGAGATTTGGGTTTCCTTAATTATCTCCTAGG